AACTCCATGTGGTGCTCTTGATTGTTTAGTGCACCAGTGGTTCTGTACACCGTGTTTGGCATTGACAACTTCCTTCCACAAGCAGTTATTCTCCTGAGTGTACCTCCATAGCCACTTCATTAATAAGCATTTATTCTGCAAAGCTAAATCCTTGATACCCAGTCCACTTTGGTGCTTTGGTAATAAAACTTTAGACCACTTAACCTGGTGAAATTTGTGATCACCGTTATTCCCTTCCCATAGAAAATTTCTTCTTATTTTATCAAGTTGTTTCAAAATCTTACTGCTCATTGGAAATAATGACATACAGTAGGTGGGAATGTTGTCTAGGACACTATTGATCAAAGTCAGTCTGCCACCCATAGATAAATACTGCAACTTCCAGGAAGCAAGCTTCTTCTCAAACTTTTCAATGACCCCACTCCATACAGCATCTGGTTTGAATTTAGCTCCTAAAGGGAGTCCCAGGTAGGTAGTTGGGAAGGTCCCAATGCTGCAGCCCAGTATCTCTGCCAATTCTTCTAGGTTTTGTACCTCATTTACAGGGTAAATCACACTTTTGAGCATGTTAATGTGTAAACCTGAAACAGCTTCAAAAAGAAGAAGAGTTTGATTTAAATAGAGCACCTGATTTCTGTCTACCCCACAGAAAATCAAGGTGTCATCAGCGTATAGCAGGTGTGAGATGTTGACTGTGCAGGTCCTCCCCACATTAAAGCCATTCAGCCACTGCATCTGCTTTGCTTTGTCCAACATTCTTCTCAGTCCTTCTATTGGAAATATGAATAGAAATGGTGAGAGAGGGTCACCATGCCTGAAGCCTCTTTGAGGGGAAAAGAAACCTGCTAGACTCCTATTAATCAGAATTGAATACTTGACAATGGACATGTTAAATTTAATCCATTTGATCCATCTTTCCCCAAATCCCATCTGCCTGAGAATAGAAATGAGATATGACCAATTCACTTGATCAAAAGCTTTTTCAATGTCCAACTTGCACAGTTTGCTATCAGTGAGGCATCTGTAATCTGTCTCCCCTTAATGAATGCATTCTGCTGGTTTGACACCAGATTCTCCAGCACTCTTTTCAATCTTTCTGCTAGAACCTTGGCTATGATCTTATACACACTACTGATGAGACTAATTGGCTTGTAGTCCCTTAACTCCATAGCCCATTTTTCTTTAGGATTAATGCAATGAAAGAAACATTATATGACCTGACCATCCAACAATGTTGATGGTAGTGACTCATGGCTACGAGGATGTCATGTTTGATGAATTCCCAAGAGTGCTGGTAAAAGGCCATAATAAACCCATCTGGTCCTGGTGCCTTGTCTGGTGCACTTGATTGTATAGCTGCTAGTACCTCCTCTTCATCAAAAGGTGCTTCCAGACCATTCTTCTCTTCTGTTGTAATGGTTGCGATGCTTTCAAAGTTTATAGAGGGTCTCCAATTCTCCTGTTCTGTGTATAGTTTTCCATAAAAATCCAGTATCTCCGCTTTTATAAGCTCCTTATCCTCTATAATTTCATTGCCAACTAAGAGTCTGTCTATGCATTTTTTTCCTTCTTTGTGAGTTTGCAATCTTTTGGAAATATTTAGTGTTTCTGTCACCTTCCTTAAGCCATTGACACCTTGATTTCTGCCTCCATGATATCTCTTCTGCTTTGGCTAGTTGTTGAAGCTCCACCCTCAGGCTCATCATTTGATTGGACTCGGTTAAAGTCTGTTGTCTACCTTCTGTCGTTTGTTCGAGTGCCATTAGCTCATCTATAGCTCTGGTTTTCCTAGTTTCTACCTTCCCAAATTCTTCTTTGTTCCATCGGGCGATATCCTTCTTCAAGCTTTTTAACTTTTGCAAAAGTATGAAGTCTGCTCTACCAGAGAAATTGTAACTCTACCACCAATTCTTCAGTTTGTCAATGAAACCTTCAGATTGCAGCCACATGTTCTCAAACTTGAAATAAGAAGGGGTTGCATCCAAGTCCCCACTCTCCAATAAAATTGGCATGTGATCTGAGATCACCTTGGGTAGAGCAATTTGTCTCACATCTTTAAATGAATCATTCCATTCAGGGCAGATAAGAAACCAATTAATTCTAGAAGCTTGTAAGGAATTGTCACCTTTCGACCAGGTGTAATGAGCTCCTTGGAGGGGTAAATCCATGACATCAAGGTCTTGTATCATTTCGGAGAATGATCTCATAGCTCTGGATCTTCTGGTACAATTCAATCTCTCGTGTACAAACCTACAAACATTAAAGTCCCCACCTATGACCCAGAGGCCTTCCCATAATCCCCTCACACCTGCAATTTCATACATCACCTCCCTCTCTGGATTAGAGTGAGGTCCATAAACACCTGTGAAGCACCACCTAAATTCCTCTTGGGTGCTTTCAAGCATACATGAGATGGAGTAGTAACCCAGATGAGGGTCTATTCTATTCCATTTGCCTTTTGTCCCAAATCATTACAATCCCTCTCCTAATTCCACTTGCCTTTAATTCAACCCAATCAGCCCACATGCTACCCCATTATTGTTGAGTCACTCTGTTGGACCAGTCTTCAATCTTTGTTTCCTGCAGACATAAGATATCCACCCTCCATTTTTGAATGAGAGATTTAATAGTGCTCTTTTTCTCCTCCTCATTCAACCCCCTCACATTCCAACTCAGGATTTTAAGCTTCATCCAGAGAAGGATTTGTAGTGCCTACCCTTTTACCCACTGTCATGTTGCCCTTTTCTGTCATAGTTGATCCCAAAGAGTAACCTTTTTCTTTCCCCTTCTCCTTTAGTTTTCTTCCATTTCCCTGATTTTTGTTGTGACTCCTGCTGTTGAATTTGAGCTTGTCTCCTTTGCTCCATTCGCAATATTAAACCTAAGAGATCATGCTCGCACCCGGCCACATTAATTCTGAAAGCCTTGCATGCCTTAACTATGGTTATTTTAGTCCACTTCGAGGTCTCAATAATGGATGGTTTATCAATTTGCTGACTGGGCCCCCCTTCTCCATGTCAATGGCAGAGCTTCATAGACTGCTTGGGAGGAGAAGTCTATGTCAGAACTGCTTACCGGAACCAAATCCATATTCTGGGAATTGATGCACAATGGTTTATGGATTCTTGGATGTGGAGTGGCTTCGTCATCTGCACCTGAGAGACTGGTATCTGAGTTTTGCTCTTGCAGGGGAGCTATGGAGGGCTCCTATGTCTTAATTTCTTCAGAGTCGAGAGAATGTCTTAATTTCTTCAGAGTCGAGAGAAGGAGCCACCAAGGCTTTAAACTTATTCACATAAGGGTTGGGCTTGTGGCCAATAACCCTCCAGATGGTCTTTTCTTTTAATAGCTTTGATTCCTTCACTTGGGCTTTTCTTTTTGGGCCTTTTTTATAATAACTTTGGTCAGCTTCCAAGCCCAGTTTTTTAATAGTAATATTGGACCCACTCCCTTCATTATCCACTGGTACAATTAAACCTTTACCCTTTGGATTAACAGGTATGTTAATCCTTTTTCAAATTAAAGCTGCTAGGGTTTCCTCCTACGTAAGTGACTGCTGCCTTGGTGCAAGGGTCGAGGTACCAGCTTCTGCATGTGACCCTTTTGCTCCGACAAATGAAGAAGCTCCGGCCGGCCTGATTTTAGCAAAGTGGTTTTCTAATAATGAAATTTCGAAGCCCCAGTCTTCCTTGATCAACTCCAGGTTTTTTGGAAGTTCATCCTTGTCATTCTTCACACAAATACGAGCCCAGAACGGATGCACTTTATGCTTGGTATCCTCATCAATTCCGACGAAACCGCCACACTTGTCGCCGATGAATTTGAATGTACTTGAAGTCCATGCGTGGAGTGGGATTCCGAAAGCTCTCACCCATCTATGCTCTGATTTTTCCCTTGTCATCACTGTTCCGGCCACCGGAGACCACCATTCCAGGGACAATCTCCTTCCATTCCAAAACCAGTCACCAGCTATGACTCTGTTTGCTTCTAGCCTGGATAGAAACTCGAACAGAAACTGATTGTGGCTGATCGGCGTGACTCTGAGCCCAGCTGTGACCTGCCATCTGCCAGCGAACCATTTTTGAATCACCACAGAGTTTGGGCTAAAGTTGAAGGGGTCATTGAATTGGCCTATGAGACACGTCGACAAGAAAGTTTCATTGCCAATTTCCTCCACCATTGGATCCTGCTTTTCCCCTACTGCAGCACTTATTTCTGATGGCCATCGAGTAATCTTAGCAGCTTCCATATAGGACCTGAACTCGTCGGCAAGATAAAATCTTGGGTCCACATATGCCCCTAAATAGCCTTGTATCTTCCTTGCTATGCCTCCCTATCCTTTATTGTAACTGCTTTCTGGAATAATGATTGCAGCCTTGTATTCCCCTAAGATAGATTCGACTCTGATAAACCTCCCATAGCTGTTGAAATTCTGTATTACTCTAAAAGTATAAGCTTGTATCTTCCTTCCCCATCTCCTACACTTGTTACCAGTCTGTAGCGAAGCTTGAATCAGAGCTTCACATACCCATCGAAGGTTACTCTCGTTAATCTTAATCTTGCTTGTGAATCTCCTGCTACGCTCTGTAATAACAAACCATCTAGCAACTTCCTCATTAATACTAACTGAAAAGTTTTCTCGCTTGAAACAAAAGTGAGCCCCCGATCCATAGCTAGGCAAATATAGGTGCTTCATCGGAAAAGGCTATGCCGGAGCTTTGGAGGGGAAAGAGGAGAGAGAGGAGAAACTTGGCACATTTCCCAATAGAGAGCACTTTTATTCCTCCTTTTGGTCCTGGTAGCGGAGAGTCAAAAACATTTCTCTTTTCCCCCTAATCAAAGAAAGAAAGTAAGCAACACTTCCCATATTCCCTATTTGTTCATTCACGATTCACCTCTTTACTTTCTCCCTCTACTCCTAACTGATACAACAATCGAGGTGCAGGAAAAATTTATAAGCTTAGACAGGAAAACAAGATGTGCACATGGATGCCCAGAGATTCAGCAAAAATGATCAATTTCAATTTCATGGATGCACTGAATTTTTTTCCAAAAATGAAAGATTCAATAGAAAAAAAATTCAGCATATACAACACTAGTGGAATTCCTCTGAACAGATGAATACATGTACAAATATCAACTACCTATTCTAAGTGGGATGCCATTGAAGAACTTCAGGTTACCACATAGAATGCCTGAATTCTCCGGCGCCAGTAGAATAAAAGTAGCGACAAATTATCTGGAAGGGCTACAATAGCATAAAGAGAGTTATTAGTCTTGGCACAACCTCTGTACGGCAGATCAGATAGCCAGTCTTTGATAGCCAAGATCCTCCAGTGCCAGTTCATCAAAACAATGGAATCAGCCACCGATTACCATAAATCAAATCAGCTACCAACTACCTGGAAATTATGGGTACTCGCCCAAAATAAAGTATAATCCGTGGGGCTATAATTAAGTTTTCACCGCTGCTAATTGGAGGTTGCAGGTTCACAAGGTTCTACATGAACCTGTTAAATGACAATTAAAGGAGGTTAATGTCCCTAGGGCTTTTTTCTTTTCCCTTTTTCCCCCTATCCTATCTAAAGTCAAAAGCACAGCAAAATCATGCAAAACCCACGTAAGCAAACAGCAGGTATCAATGCAGGAAATCATCCTCTGGTCATGGAAACAAAGGCGCTTAAAGGCAATGGTGACAGACAGAATAATTTAGATGCAGGAACCACGACTTCTTTTGGCTACAATTAAATTCACACGAGAAACCTAGCAGTGCTTTTGTAACTCTCAGACCTTCATACCAGGACTTTCATCTTGGACACACTACTAGTTTCTAAATACGGAAATACACAATATAGTGATGTACAGAATGGAACTGTTTTTGGTTTAAGGTCAGAATGCAACTGTTTTCTTGCGGGACATGAATTTTAAGAGGAAGAGATAAAAGTACCTAAAGATATAGTATATACTATATAGTATTAAAAAGGACTCAATGTGAGTAACCAAAAGCTGAATCATCCGGAAATCGAAAGGATTCTCAGAACATCAGGCGGCACAGCAGCAAAACAACTTACTCACCAATATTTTGTAGGAGCAAGCTCGATAAGGTTTTCAAGTTCAGATTGTCAAACTTATATTCAAGAAATACATAATTCTAACTGGATGCTACAACCAATGTTCTAATTTATGTTACTACAGTTTGATCTGACAAAGAGCTTAAGAAAGAAACGAAGATTTCTGAAACTTGTGGTCTTAAGCATGTCAGTTTTTTTTCTTCAGGAAGTGGCCATTCTAATCTTCTCTATATTGTTCCAATTTTGTGATCATGTAGTCTTAAACATATCATAACATTTGTGTGACTCTAAAGATTTTCATTAAGGATAAAATGAGAAGGTTAAAGTTAAATTGTTTCCAAATATAGAAATGTATTTTACTCTTTGAAATGGACTAATAAGAAAGAGTGTCACATAAAACGAAATAGAGGGAGCACTAATTAGTCCCATAAATAGGTGAACCCTCATTTACTTCAATCACTAAATTCATCAACCATCCCTCCAACTAGTAGGCTTGCTATGCAAATATATGTTAAGCAAGCCGATCTCATCTCAATAGTTCATAATTTGTCTGCTAAGACAACTAAAATATAAATTGGAGTTCTCTATAACTAGAGATTCTTCAACCAGTATATGACAAAAAAAAATCTTCAACCAAACTTGAAATTCTCTCAACAAGTATGTGGCCGAGTAGAAGTATAATGAAAATAAACCTGTACCACAACTAATTAGTGCTGACTAAATGGATTCTCTGCTTCCATTGTGTTTGTTCTTCGGGAAATCATGCATGGTTTATGAGAAAATTATAAGTTTTTTGAGACAACTTTTTTCCATGTGAGTTAGGTCTATCTTGTCTCGGTTTAACTTTTCAATCGTCACAGTATTGTGCTAAAGGACCAATGTATTTGGAGGTTTACGGAAGACAACAATCTCAAGCGACATTCTCTTAGTGTATACTCTATGTGATATTTGCGTCCTCTGTAAAACAACGAAGCAATAACACAAAAAATGCTAATAGGGGTCATAATGTCAATCTCTTCGGTCCAAAATGCACAAACCATGAGTACGAGCTCCAAAAAGCCACATAATTTTCTAAAAGTAGAAGATTTTCAGAGCACGAAAGTTAATTACATTGGTCTTGGAACTGGTCCGAACAAAGTGGGTTGTTGTTGTTGTTGTTGTTGAAAGTTAATTACATAATAGCAGCAGCAAAAAAAACATATCTATGCATGCACAGACAGAATAAGTACTGTTACTTGAACTTGGAATTAGTCGTATGGTTATATTTTGTACCTTCACGCCTTGGAACTGGTCCGAACAAAGTTAAGGTGAGCGAGATAATTACTTTCAGCAAAATCATGTAATGTACGTGGTGCTCGTGCCCCATCATGACCTAGCTTACCACATTCTTCCTTCAACAAACTCCTACCTTCATCAGCCTCCTACAAAAGATATTCCAAAACTGTAAATATGCAATCGCATAAACAAGTTCCCAGTTGGATGATCTCAATTTCTTCTTCTTCTTCCAGTTTAGCTTTTCTCTATTCTCCTCTTTATTCACTTCAATGATTGTGCTGCTCTCTTTTCCATTTTCTGGCTTTCTTGTTCTTCTTTATTAGACTACTGCTTTGATTTTCCTTTCTTCTATTTTGTTTTTTATTTTTACTGATATGAGTACTGTAATGGATTCTATTCCTACTGTAATCCTTAATAATATTAGTAAGACATGCTGAAATTAAAACTGCAGACTGAAATTAACGATAAATTAACCTCGGGACTGGTATTTCATGCTTAGTTTGATGTTTTATGGGACATATATAACATGCTGAACATAAATTGTAATTGATCTTACTTGCTTAAAGTTTTATTTTCCATGAGACTAATTGATGAAGCACTTGTAAGAAAGGTGTAATTATTAGGTTTATATTATAGACATCTTAAAGTTTTAAGTCCTAAACTGTAGTATAGGCCAATCTTTTGTATTCTCAGTGGATTGCATCTTTCACTTCAATGAAATCTGTGTGTATGCTTGAAATGTTAGCTGCGTTGTCACATTTAAGCTCTTCACTTAGAAAAACACTGGACTCTAACCATTTTCTAAGAGAATACATAAGTACACCAACTTATCACAATACACACAACTAGGCTCTATACACAAAGTAGGTTTTGGACCATATATTAGGTGAAGGTGAAACAAAATATTTGAAGTAGAAGTTGAGAAAACAACAACAACAAAAAATCCAGTAGACTCTACTTAGTGAAGGTAGAGAGGCGGTTTCCAATAGACCATTGGCTTAGAAAGAGTGAGAAGAAGAAGAAGAAACCGGGG